TCTAGGAATTAATACCGGGGTGCTGTCATGTGTGCTTTGAATGCAACTCGGGGGAGGCATTTGAATGGGCTCTTTTCAAACTCTAATACACCAATTAGCCCTACCTACAAACCCTAAACCCTAAACCCTAAACCCTAATTTTGTATGTGGGGCGCCTCAGCTGTTTCGGGAGCCGCAAGCGTGAGAGGCTCATTGCGTATGAAGCACAGAATGGAGGTTCCTGCAATACCAGTAGTGCGCTCTAAACCCTAAACCCTAAACCCTAAACCCTAAACCCTAAACCCTAAGCTCCGATGCTTCCTTCCCCTCAGCAAGCACCAGCCTCTGCGACAGCAAAGCAAAACGTATAGCTCGCCTGTCCGCATTACGATTTGGGTTTTAGGGTTTAGGGTTTAGGGTTTAGGGTTTGTGCTTCAGCTATAGGGGTGGAGACCTGCCGAGGCCCCGAAGCGGCCACAGAAGACTGCACCGGTTGGTTTGCGAGGGTTTATCTAATTAGGGTTTATAAAAGTTAGGGTTTATAAAAGTTAGGGTTTATAAAAGTTAGGGTTTATAAAAGTTAGGGTTTACCAAGCTAGGGTTTACTCAGTTAGGGTTTATAAAAGTTAAAGAATAATCAAGTTAGGGTTTATTAGGGTCTATAAAAATTGGGTTTTAGGGTTTATCTATGTTAGGGTTTATTAAGATAAGGGTTTATAAATTATAATTAGGGTCTGTCAGTGAGAGGGTTTATTCCCGCTAGGGTTAAGGGTTTATTAGGGTTTATGAGGGTTAATGACAGTTTATGAGGGTTTATGAGGGTTTATTAGTGTTTATGAGGGTTGATTAGGGTTTATGAGGGTTTATTAGGGTTTATAAGGGTTTATTAGGGTTTATAAGGGTTTATTAGGGTTTATAAGGGTTTACTAGGGTTTATAAGGGTTTATTAGGGTTTATGAGGGTTTCAGCTCTTCTCGTATCTGCGTTTTGCATGGGGCATTGAAACTGCGTTATTTCCTAGGGTTTAGGGTTTAGGGTTTAGGGTTTGTGTTGCAGGTGCGCTTGAGAACGAGGAGGAAGCAGATGCAAGCAGCCCCTCTTTGGCTTCTGCTCTCTCCACCGAAACTATCATTGGTGTTGCTGCTGCTGCTGTAGGAATCATTTTAGTTGTCTCTACCGTTATTTACTTGTGGGCTAGCTAGCTAACTAGCTAGCTAGCTAGCTAGCTATCCCGCTAGCTAGCGGGATAGCTACGTCTTTAAGCTAGCTAGCTAGCTGGCTAGTTGCGTCTTTAGGCGAGGTAGCTAGCTAGCTGGCTAGCTGCGTCTTCAAGCTATTTAGCTAGCTGGCTAGCTGCATCTTCAAGCTAGCTAGCTAGCTAGCTGGTCAACTGCGTCTTTAAGCTAGCTAGCTAGCTAGGCATCGGTCTATCCACTTAGCTGGCTAGCAAGCAAACTGGGCTGCTGGCTAGCCAGGTATTTGTCTATATATCAATCTATCTAGCTCGCTTGATAGCTATCTATCTATCTAGGTAGCTAGCTAGCTAGCTACTTTGCTTGCCTGTTTATTAGTTAGTTAACAAGCTACCTATGTATCAAGCTAGATAGCTAACAGGCTATCTATCTAGCTAGCTAGGTAGGCTGCCGCCTCGCTATCTAGCTAGCTGGCTATATATCTATCTATTTAGCTAGCTACCTAGCTATATCCACCTAGCTAGCTATCCAGCTAACTAGCTAGCTGGTTGAGTTCGTTAGGCAGCTAGCCGGCTATGTAGGCAGCCAACTAGCCGCACTCTTCAATAGACAGGTCCTTCGCCGGGTAGCTAGCTAGCTACCGCCTCTACCAGCTAGCTAGCCAGCTAGCTAGCTAGCTAGCTAGCTAGCGGGATGTGCAACAGGAAGAGAGACAGGAGAAGATGTGGATGGCGGTTTTGGGAGAGACATAAAAAGGTGAGCAGACACCGCAGGTGGCAGCCGCTAGTCCGTGATGCTGCTGCTGTTGCTGCAGCTGCTGATGCTGCTGCTGCTGCTGCTGGCACTGCAGCAGCAGCAGCGGGCCCCTTTAGGGTTTACTGGGGGCTCGTCAGTGATGTTTGTCTGTAGTTGCAATGAAGATATATATATATATTTAAAAGCAGCAGCAATCTCTCTTTATTTCTTCTTGCTGCAGCAGCAGCAGCAAACAACCCTACCCCTAAACCCAATTAGAAACACCCATCGAGGTGTACAGACACCGCAGAGAGCAGCAAATAAAAATAAAACTAAAATTTATTAAACAAATAGAAAAATGCTGCAGCAAATGCAGCCGCTCCTGCTGCAGCCTCAGGGAGCCGGGCGTACATACACCCCGAAGAAGAAGCAACAAAAATTGCTGCTGCTGCTGCTGCTGCTGCTGCTACTGCTGCTGCTACTGCTGCTACTGCTGCTGCTACTGCTGCTGCTGCTGCTGCTGTTAGAGTGTACGAGTCTGTTAGCAGCAGCAGCAATCCCTCATGGTGCGGTGTATATACACTCCATTGCTGTTTGCAGCCTAATTATTCGTGCTGCTCTGCTGCTGCTGCTGCTGCTGCTGCTGCTACTGCTGCTGCTACTGCTGCTGCTGCTGCTACTTCTAGTTGAGGTGTATATACACCCTGAGCAGAGCTTATATAAATTAATTATTTTGAAGCCTTAGCTGGGAGCAGACAGAAAACTCTAGACCCTAAACCCTAAAACGGAGGGGTTAAGACACTGCAACGGGTGGACCACGTGCATACTAGGGTTTAGGGTTTAGGGTTTAGGGTTTATGTTTGA